TCCAACACCCAGAGCTGAGTGGGTCACTCACAGAGTCACTTCACTTCCTCTTCAGGGTAGCAGTAGTTAGTCAAGAACCTCAAGAGCTTAGGCAATATTGAGCCAAACACTTCCAGGGAGAGGAAGTTGTGTCACTAGTCTAAGATGTGATCTAAGAGACGATGGTGTAGGTGAGTTCTCACTTGAAGACTTTTTGATTCTGGCCTTGGCTTTGATATTAAATGGTTATTTAACTTTTCATTATGGGCTACTTTATTTCTCTGAGCCTATTTTCTCAATAAAGTGAGGGAGTGGATTATTTAAACTCAATTTTATATGATTCTGAGAAGAAAAATTTGAAAGACAAAAACAAATAAAAAATATTTAAGTAAATTTCACATGGCCCCAATTTACCAATCCCCCATCCACATTGTTCTCCAAGAAGGGCCATTATTAATCAATTCAACTCAGAAAACTGCCTTAGAGATCAACAGACCTTTACATACCTGAGAGAAAATAAAGCAGATATTGTTTTTCATTCTGCCAACTAAACAAAAATACAGTGAGAATACTGTGGGGCCAGTGGGAGAAAATTGAAATTTTCATAAAAATGAAATTCCCTAAGGACATGGGCAGATTCTTTATGGTTGCTGCTGAGGATAGAGACTATTCAGTCAGTGACACATGGCAGGCAGTGTTTCCAAGGCCAGGGCTGGAGAAAGCCATGTTCAGTAGAAATTAAAATAGGCAATATGTGGAATAAGTTTTTAACTTTATGGAAAGTACCATGGGAGTTCTAAGAAATAACCTGTATCTGTCATCTCACAACCAAGAAGTGGCTTTGCACCCCCCTAAAGCCCCTCTAAATGCCAAGCTGTGACCTTGATCAAGAATTGACTCTGAATCAGGGAAACAACCTATGGCATCGTCAATATTATTTCTTCCAAATCCTCTTTATTTAAATTCTGGTCACCATCAGTGGCTGATCCTGCATCGGTCCGTTGTCTGGTTTTGTTCTTTCCACAATACTGAGAATACCATGGGATAGTATTTCTAGTCCCATCTGAAAGATGAGGGTCCCATTGCCCAGAGTGGTCAAAGACTATACCCAATGCCCAAATAGCTATTCAGACAGGTTGGACCTAGAATCTAATTCTCTAAGCAAAGACCAGCAAGCCAGATATAGTTGTACTTCTCTTGATAGTTCTAGAATAAAGAAATATTTTTGCTACATCAAATGAATTGCCATCTTAAGGATGGATAAAGACCAGTTCAAGAAACATTAAAGGAGCTGAAATTCTGCTGTCATCTTCACTACCACACATATTAGCTGTAGGGCTTATGCACATAGTTTCTGTCTCTGCTTAAAGGACAATTTAGTCAAAAGAAGAATGTTTATATGTGTTTTTTTCATTTAATTAAAATTTAAAAATCAACATATTGAAATATCATAAATCAAACCCAAAATGAAATTAACCCCTCAGGTTAACTAAATTAATTATTTTAACTAGTGGTTTCCATTTTTTCGACATCAAATGTTTTTTCATTTCTGAGAAATACATTCTTTCAAAAATTTATATTCATAGCCTAGCTGGTGTGGCTCAGTGGTCGAGTGTCAACCTATGAACCAGGAGGTCACAGTCAGGGCACATGCCCAGGTTGTGGTCTTGATCCCTAGTGTGGGGCGTGCAGGAGGCAGCCAATCAATACTTCTCTCTCATCATTGATGTTTCTAGCTCTCTCTCCCTCTCTGAAATCAATTTTAAAAATTTAATATTAATATAATGATATATAGTAAGAAATTTCTCTTTACCAAGAAAATTTGCAACTATATTCTTGTCTTTAAGATTCTTTATGGTGTATACCTACAGTTTACTATTTAACACAGATTTGAAATGAGCAGATCCATTTATACACATATTTTTTTCAACAAACAGGTACAGTACTATAAATGCATTTTCTTTTCCTATGACTTTTTAAACGTTTTTTTCTAGCTACTTTATTGTAAGAATACAGTACATAATACTGGTCAACAGTAGGATATTAGTAGTTAAATTTTGAGGGAGTCAAAAATTATGCATGAATATTTTACTGTATGAGGGGTCAGTAGCCCCCAAACATCACATTGTTCAAAGGTCAACTGCATATATGTGTTTTTTTTAAAATTCCTCTTCTTTATATATACACTTCCTTTATCTGTCCTTTTAAACTCTACATTCGCAGGATTCAGGTGTGTGCAATTTCTACTGTCTTGAATTTCAATGTTGCCAATGATCAGTAGATCCTGTATGGTTCATGTGATCGTTCATCTTATTATTCATTTTACAGGAAGAATAATGGGGAGGGATTGGACGATCAACTGCGAAGTGAATTTAATATTTTCCTGAAACAGTATGTGGTAGATAATGGGTTTTTGTTTATTTTGAAGGTTTTTTTTTTTTTTTTTTTAACTCATTTTGAATTCAGCAGGAGCTGTTGTCTTTAGCTTCCAATTTGGAGCAAGTGTGTGAAACACAAACATATTTCATTTCTGTGAAGTTCATTATTTCAAGCTTGTATACAATCCTTAGTGCTGGGACTGAGCTATCTTCTATGGGGCTTTTTGAAAACAAAATACTCAAAATTATTGTAAGTAACTACTGGATATCTAGTGACTTTCTTTTAAAAGTTTTGCTTATAAGTAATATTGATATAGAAAATGCACTGTGAACATTTTAGAAAAAGAAAAAATTTAAATTGCCCATAATCTAGAAACACTAATAATATTTCAGCTTTTATGTATGTATTTTTAGTCTTTTTCTATTCATATTAAATAATATAAATATATTTTTACTAAAATTATGCTATAAATATTATGTGTTATAAATTTCCCAATTACCATTGACATTTTTCATGTGGTTAAATATTAATCTATAATGAATTTTAATGGCTGTAGAGCTTCTCCATTGTATGGAAATGCCCTAATATATTGAGACCCCAATTTCTGGGCTTTCAGATTATGTTCAGTTATTCTCCATTTAAGCAATACTTTAATAAATATTGCACACATACATTTTTGGGTGTACATGTCATTTTAAACATAGGATTAAAATTCTTCCATGTAGAATTGATGTGCTTTAAAAATGTGTAAGATTTTTTAATGCCTACTGCCAAAGTACTCACCACAGGGCTGTGTACCATTCACATTTCTACCAAATAGTGGATGAGAATATCCATGGTCCAACACTGAGAAACCGTGTGTGTGTGTGTGTGTGTGTGTGTGTGTGTGTGTGTGTGTGTGTGTGGTCACTGATATTATGGTAAATAAAATTGAACAAAATAATATGGACAAAAATGTCATTTCACTTTTTTCTTTTAATTTATCTTTATTGTTGAAATATCCCTTTTTCCCCCATTGATCCCTTCCAGCCTGCTACTCTCCCCTGCCCCAGGCCTTCACTGCTGTATTGTCTTTGTCCATGGGTTATACATATATGCATATAAATTCTTTGTTTAATATCTTCCCACCCACCCACTTTTATTCTGTGCAAGACCCTCATTTTTAGTTGATCCTTTGGAGACCGGTGATAACATGAAAGAAGACAACAAATTAAATAGGCTGACAGCAGTTCAGGAGATTACCTTCTCCTTATAGGATGAAAGAGCAACAGTGGCATAGAGTTTTCACTACGTTTGTGTTTTAAATAGGTTTCCTCAGAGTCCTAGGTGGCTTATAATACAGTGGCAACGGGGGCGGGTGCATGGCCACAGGGTAAAAGGGAATTAACAAAAAAGCAAAACTAGAAATGGTGTATCTGGGAAGATGAGCCAAAGCAGCTCACAGGGTTTCTGGATGCTGCCAGGAGAAGGATTTTCTGTCCACAAGTGGGTCAGAGGTAAGGCAGGGCTGTAGGTGAGCTTGGCTTTCTACTTGAACACCATCGTGGGTGTGTGGAGGCAGTGGAGGGTCTGACTAGGCTCAAAACAAATTTCTGCCAACAAATAAAATGGATACTTAAAGGGAAATTGATTCTAGTTAAAGAAATAAATTTCATTTTTTTGTGTGTGTACACAGGTTTGAGATCAGATGCAAGACTCTTGCTTGATTGTAACAATTCTTCCTAGAACCATCTTTTTACCCATCACTATCCCAGATAAAATCCCTGAGACCTGGGTTTCCAGGAGCATGGAGAGAGGGCTGTGGGTTGTGAGAGATAGAGGTTGGTGGTATATTCTCTGTGGCTGTTCTTTCCTTTTTCTTTTTTATTTTAGGTTTAAATTATTTATTGTTTAAATTATTACATATGCTCCCACCCCCTGTGACTGTTCTTTCATTATTTCTCTTTCCCTCTTGGCCTTATGGACCCCGATTCTCTAATTTATTTTGTCAGTCTCTGGTGAGCAAAACATTCCACCTCTTCTCTCTCTGGTCTCCTCAGAGAGAGGTTTCCCTCTGTGAAATGATGAGAACTCCCCCCGCCCCCCGCCCCTTACAGCCTACAGTGTGTGGGTGGGTGCCTCATGTGGGTGCCTCATCCTGCATGTGTCTGTAGAAGATAAGTTTCTTTTCTGCTTCGTGATGTCTGAAAAAATGGAAAATAAGGCCTAGAGAAGAGAGCACAGCAGGTGGTGGAAAATCAACTCATCAGAGGAAATTTTCAATCTCTTTTTTCTTTTCTTTTTTATTTCTCTTTTGAATGTAAAGATATTTGTTCCCTGATCAAGGTTTTGGGAGAAATCCCGAGTTAAAATTTTCCTGTGGTTTATATAAATTCATTGTGGGAAAGGATAGAGAGCATAAGAATGAAATAGAGTATTTTTTTTTAAAAAAGTTTTTATTTTTATTTTTGTATAATGCAAAAGCATATTTATTTGTATACACACCAATGAAGGAAAACAGTCATCTGGCAAATGGAGAAGAACATGACTCTTAAGTAGCTGATTTTGGGACCGACTACAATGGGAAGACTTGCTTTGTTGCCTTCGGATGTTGGTCTATTCACCTAACCCTTCATCAGGTTTTCCAATGGGTTTTACTCCTCCTAGGCCTGCTTCTCTAATTCCTTACAGTATCCTAGCTGGAATTGCAGGTCGTTTGTATCATCATTCTGTTCATCCAGGAACTTTTCCAAAATGCATAAGATGCCATATTCATTTTTGGAAGAAGCTGTGGTCTTCAGGTCTAGCAGGAGCTTGGTTAACTGGTTCTTCAATTCCAGGGCAGACTCTAGAGCAGCGGTTCTCAACCTGTGGGTTGCGACCCCTTTGGTGGTCAAACAACCCTTTCACAGGGGTCACCTAAGACCATCCTGCATATTAGATATTTACATTACGATTCATAACAGTAGCAACATTGCAGTTATGAAGTAGCAACGAAAATAATTTTATGGTTGGGTCACAACATGAGGAACTGTATTTAAAGGGCCAGAAGGTTGAGAACCACTTCTCTAGAGCTTTTATGCCTGTTTGCCAGTTATCTATCTCAGGCCTCTTAAACACTAGAAGGCAGATTTTACTCCTACATTTTCTTAGATGTTTTAGGAATTGCTTTCCATTTTCCCACTTCACCTCAGCTTGGTATTCAAAGAAATTGGCAAAAAGAGGTTCTACTGAATCTTCAGTGGAATTACAGGTCATAGGTAAATAAGCATCATAAGATGCCAAGTGGTTAATAGCAATACTACACTCAGAGAGCAAGTGCTTGGCTGCCATCATAGCTTTAGAGAAAACCAGGCAACCGGGCATAAACAGTGCTGTGCTCAAAAAAAAATAAAAATGTTTTTATTGATTTTAGAGAACAAGGAAGGGAGAGGGATAGAGAGATAGAAACATTGCTGAGAAACATCAGTCCACTGCCTCCTGCACGCCCTCTACTGGGGATTGAGCCTGCAACTCAGGCACGTGGTCCAACCAAGAACCTCGGTTCATTAGTCCATGCTCAACCACTGAGCAACACCTGCTGGACTGAAATAGAGTCTTTTAAATAAGGTGTTACGAATTTTTGACGAAAGCTTTGGGAACTTACCGACACACCGAAAGGGCACATAAAGTGCAGTCCGTGAGGACTCTGCTCCCCAACCAGTTTTCCTCTCTTGGTGCTGGTCAGTAAGCCCATGGCAACTTCCTCCTCTGCACGCTCGACTTTTATCCACTTGTCTAGTTATTTTTGAATATGCATGTACCAGCAGTGGGGGTGCGGGCACCGCCTCCATCTCTTCCCATGTAATCTAGGATCCCCCAGGCAATCCTCTAATTTTCTGTATTCATTTTCTTCTGTTTTGTTTTGTGTGTCTTTTTTTCTGACTAATAAATATTCTGGAGCCCAGAGTCTAAAAGAATGAATGCATCGTCCCCAGAAGCTGAGGAGGAGACCTTGGTCTGGGAGCCTCACAGAAGTGGCCTAGTGCACACTGTGTACTGTCTCCTGAGCTCCACCTGTGTAATGGTTTTATGTCAGGGCAGCACCTGGCATAGAGCCAGTCCACAGGGCTGAAACACAGATCCCCACTTCTCTGATGCAGATCTTTAAGGAAGCCACTTAAGCTCTCTGAGCCCCCATCTCCTCAGATGAGAAACAGTGTCAAGGAGCAGAGTTAGCATGGGGACAGTGTAACATTGCCCTATCTGACTCAGTGGCGGAACTCATAAACAAAGCTTTGTACCTGGTTGATTATTCTGCCATTGCTATTGCTGTTACTATTATTAAGCCTTTTGTAACCAGGTTTGTATTCCTAGGATAAATATTTCTTCCCTGAACCATTGAGTTGCAGTTATTCTATGTGAGTTATTGCTCTGAGCAAGCTGGCTAGCATAACTGCCACGATGAGAAAAGGGGGAGCTCTCTCCTGGAAGAGCACCCTGCTCCTTCCCTCCTCCCATGTGTCTCTGCTGGCACAGTAGTGGTTGGTGAAGAGCCATCATGCAGTTTCCAGCACTCATTTGGGCTTGATGGGCTATGTAGAGTAGAGAAGAAGCATGGCCCTTGGAACTAGGAGACCTCAGTTTGAACCCTGGCTGAGTGGGTTCGGGCAGGCTTTCTCCTTAATGAGCCTCAGTATCTGTGTTAGTTTCCTGAGGCTGTCATAACAAACTACCACTTTCAAAATTTATGAGAGACCTTAACCAAGACAGGAATCAGGAAGGCCTGTGGGAGGAGTTCTCACACTCTATGGTGGACACAAAAATCCTACAGGGAGAATTCTATGGTTATGATGCAGCTCTACGATTATAACATCCCTCCTTAACTTCCTCTTACCCTCTGCACAGAACTTCCTTCCTCTTTATCTCAAGGACTTGCACATGGCTCACCATGCTGCACGTACACGACTACAGTCCTTTCTTTTTCCCAAATAGATTTCTGTTTTAAAAAATCTTTAGTGTTGAGAGTATTACAGATGTCCCCCTCCATTTTACTCCTATCGCCCCCCCTCCTCTCACAAACTGCCCCTCCCCAGGCCTTCACCACACTGTTGCCTGTCCATGGACAATACGTATATGCATATACGTTCTTTGGTCAATCTCTTACGCCCTCCTGTCCCCTTCCCTCTGAGATTCATCGGTCTGTTCCACATATCCATGCATCTGATTCTATTTTATTCATCAGTTTATTTTGTTCATTAGATTCTACATATAAATGAGATTATGTGATATTTGTCTTTCTCCCACTGGCTTATTTTGCTTAGCATAATACTTTCCAGGTCCCTCCATGCTGTCTCAAAGGGTAAGTGATCCTTCTGTTAAAGCTGTGTAGTATTCCAAGATGTAAATGTACCACAGCTTTTTTTTTATCCACTCAACATGGACACTTAGGCTGTTTCAGATCTTAGGGGTGCATATATTCTTTCTGGTTGGTGTTTCAGGCTTCTTAAGACATATTCCTAAAGGTGGGAAAATGGAGTTAAATGGAACTTCCATTTTAATTTTTTTTGAAGAAACTCCACAGTTTTCCATAGTGACTGCGTCAGTTTGCATTACCACCAGTAGTGTACTAGGGTTCACTTTAACTCACAACCTTGCCAGCACTTGTCCTTTGTTGATTTATTGAGGGTGTCCATTCTGGCAGATGTGAGGTGATACTTCAATGTCATTTTAATTTGCATCTCTCACATATTTAGTGATGTTGAGCATTTTTTTAATATGTCTCTTGGTTATTTGTATGTACTCGGTGGAGAAGTGTCTTTTAAGGTCCTCTGCCCATTTTTAAATTGGATTATTTGTCTTGTTGAGTTGCATGAATATTTTATGTATTTTGGAATTAACCTTTTATTAGGTGTATCATTGGCAAATATGGCCCCCCATACAGTGGGTTCCCTTTTCATTTTGATGCTGGTTTCTTTTGCTGTGCAGAAGCTTTTTATTTATTTTATTTTTTATTGTTTTATTGCTTAAAGTATTACAAAGGGTATTACATATGTGTCCTTTTTTTTTTACTCCCGCACTTGACAATCCCCTGGCCTCCCCTACCCCCCAGTGTCTTATGCCCATTGGTTATGCTTATATGCATGCATGTAATTCCTTTGGTTGATCTCTTACCCCCCTCCTCCTGCCCTCCAACCCTCCCTGGCCTTCCCGCTGCAGTTTGACAATCAGTTTGAGGCAGCTCTGCCTCTGTATCTATTATTGTTCATAAGTTTATAATGTTCTTTATTATCCCTGAATGAGTGAGATCATGTGGTATTTTTCCTTCATTGACTGGCTTATTTCACTTAGCATAATGCTCTCCAGTTCCATCCATGCCGTTGCAAATGGTAAGAGTTCCTTCCTTTTTACAGCAGCATAGTATTCCATCGTGTAGATGTACCACAGTTTTCTAATCCATTCATCTACTGATGGGCACTTAGGCTGTTTCCAGATCTTAGCCACTATGGAAGACAGTATGGAGTTTCCTCAAAAAACTAAAAATGGAACTCCCATTTGACCCTGTGATCCCACTTCTAGGAATATATCCCAAGAAACCAGAAACACCAATCAGAAAGGATATGTGCACCCATATGTTCATAGAAGGTTTATTTTGATGTAGTCCCATTTGTTTATCTTTACTTTTGTTTCTCTTGCCCTAGGCCAGTGGTCTGCAAACTGCGGCTCACGAGCCACGTGTGGCTCTTTGGCCCCTTGAGTGTGGCTCTTCTACAAAATACGGACTTCTGCGCATTGGCCATGAAGTTTCAATCGCACTGTACTTGCACGCCCACACGCGGTATTTGGTGGAAGAGCCACACTCAAGGAGCCAAAGAGCTGCATGTGGCTTGCGAGCCGCAGTTTGCCGACCACTGCCCTAGGCAATGTATCAATGAAAATTCTGCTACATGAGATGTCTGTGATTTTGCTGCCTATGGTTTCTTCTAAGGTTTTTATGGTGTCATGACTTAGTCTTTAATCCATTTTGAGTTTATTCTTGTGTTGGTGGCCTAGTTTCTTTTCTTTTTCTTTTTGCATGTACCTGTTGAATTTTCCCACCATTTATTGAAGAGACTATCTTGACTCCATTGTATGTTCTTGCCTTCTTTTTTTTTTTTTTTTTTTTTTTTTTTAGATTTATATCTAAGTATTTTATTTTTTGGTGCTTTCGTAAATGGTATTTTTAAACTTTATTTTTTTTTTTTATTTTTTTATTTATTTATTTATTTTTTTTTATTGCTTAAAGTATTACAAAGGGTATTACATATGTGTCCATTTTATCCCCCCGCCCTAGACAGTCCCCTAGCCTCCCCTACCCCCCAATGTCTTATGTCCACTGGTTATGCTTATATGCATGCATACAAGTCCTTTAGTTGATCTCTTACCCCCCTACCTCCTGCCCCGCAACCCTCCCCGGCCTTCCTGCTGCAGTTTGACAATCTGTTTGAGGCAGCTCTGCCTCTGTATCTCTTGCCTTCTTTGTCAAATATTAATTGAGCATAATGGGTTGGGTCCATTTCTGGGATCTCTGTTCTGTACCATTGATCTGTATGCCTGATCTTGTGCCTGTACATCTGTTTTGATTACAATAGCTTTGTAGCATAACTGGTATTGTGATCCCTCCTACTTTGTTCATCTTTCTCAAGATTGCTGTGACTATTCAGGGTCTTTTTGGTTCAATATAACTTTTTGGAGTACTTGTTCTAGATCTATAAAATATGCCCATGGCATTTTTAATAGGGATTGCATTGAATCTATAGATTGCTTTGGGTAGTATAGACATTTTAATGATGTTAATTCTTCCAATCCATGAATAAGGTATATTCTTCCACTTGGTTGTATCTTTCTCTATCTCTTTTTCTAACATTTTGTATTTTTCCAAGTATAGATGTTTTACATCCTTGGTTAAGTTTATTCCTAGGTGTCTTATTTTGTTGTTGTTGTCTTTGCAATCATAAAAGGGATTGTTTTTCCAGTATCTTTTTCAGGAGATCATTATTGGTGTATAAAAATAGCATTGATTTCTGGATGTCAATTTTGTATCCTGCTACTTTGCCAAATTCATTTATCAACTTTGGTATTTTTTTGGTGGATTTTGTAGGATTTTCTATGTACAATATCATGTCATCTGCAAATAAGGACAATTTTACTTCCTCATTTCCAATTTGGAAGAAAGACTTTCTTCTCAGGCTGGCTAACTGTGAGGCTCAGCAACTATCACACCATGTGTGCTGTTGTGTAGGGGCTGATCAGGCAAAACAAAACAAAAAACAAATAAACAGGAACATAAAAAAGATTCCATCAATGACAACAGT